TGAATTTTTTCTGTTGTTGGTGGTCTAAGAATATAGTTTGCATGATGTCAGTGCTTTTAAATGTATTGAAATTTGTTTTATGACTTAGCGTATCATCTGCCCTGGAGAAGAGCAAGCACTGTGCTTAAGAAGAATATGTATTCTTCATTGTTGCATGGAGTGTACTGTAGATGCCAGGGATATCTACTTGCTTGTTAGTATTGTTCACGTTCTTTATATTCTTGCTGATTTTCTTTCTAGTTCTACCTATTTTTAAGAGTGAGTATTGAAATTTCTAACTATTATTGCTAAGTTGTGTATTTCTCCCTTAAGTTTTGTCAGTTTTTGCTCCTTATTTTTTGGAATCTTGTCATTAAGTACATGTATTTTTGTAATTGTTACAACTCCCTGATGTATTAACTCCTTATTATAAAACATCCCTCTGTCTCTAGTAATATTGGCTTTTAGTTTGTTAAATATTAGTATTGTTATTCCAGCTCTTTTATTGTTGGTTGTATGTTGTATCTTTTCCATCTGCACTCAACCTATTTATATCTAAATTTCATCTTTTATAGACAAAAGATAGTTGGATCTTGTTTCTTAATCCAACCTGACAATCTCTGTCTTTTGTTTATATTACTTAGTTCATTCACATTTAATGTTGTTGATACAGTTGGGTTTTTGTCTGCCATTTTGCTGTTTATTTTCTGTGTTTCTAATGTCTGTTTTTGTTTCTTTGTTTCTCCTTTATTCAGTTTTTGTTTTAAGTGGCTATCATCTAATCTCCCACTTTAATTCCTTTATTGGTTTTTAAACTATATTTTATTAGAATCTACTTAAAACTTACATAGAATTAGTTCAACTATAATAATAGGTAGAACTAGACAAAGAACTTTGTTCCACTGTAGCTCTCTTCCCTTCCCCATCTTTTGTGCTATTATTGTCATATATATTATAAACCCAACAATAGAGTGTTATAATTATTGCTTTATAGTATCTCATGTCCTAGCCACTCCTCTGTTTATTACCTGTTGTGGGTAATATAGAGCTACCCCTTTTGCAAGAATTTACTTTTCTTCTTCTTGCTAATTTTATTTTTGGTTGTATTTTATAACACCCCCAATCTCTTTTTTCATTATTCATCTATTTGATTTCAATCCCCATGACTCAGCCTTTCCTGTCTTTTTTTTTAAGATGGCTAATTAGTGATTGATTGATTTTAAAATAACAGAATTAGAATCCCTTCTACTCTTGCTTCTACCCTCTACCCTCTTCTCCTCCAGTAACCTTAGTTCTGTGGTCAAAATCCACTGATATATTTTTATTTTGTTTTGTCTGTTCTTCAGTTTTGTTTCCTTAAACTTCTCATATAGGTGAAATCATCCAATATTTGTCTTTCTCCTGATTTATTTCATTTTGCATCATCTCCTTAGGTTCCTTTTATTTTGCTGTAAATGGCAAAATTTCATTTTTTTTTAAAGATTTTATTTATTTATGCATACAAGAGCTGGGGTACAGGCCAGAGGTGCAGGAGGTGAGAGGATTCACCAGACAGAGTGGGGAACAGAAGAGGTAGACTGAGTGAAATACACTGCTGAGGGGAGCAGCGGGTGAGCCAGGAGAGGTCTACTGCACCATGTGGGTTGCTTCCTGGCCAGGGATCCAGCTTGTGCTGCCCAGACTGTGGATTGCTTCATAGTGCGATGCTTAACCCCTTGCACCACCAGGGAGGCCCCAAAATTTCATCTTCTTTCATCTTTTTTAATAACCGAATAGTATCCCATTGTGTATCTATGCCACGGCTTCATTATCCAATCATTTATCAGTGAGCACTTAGGTTATTTCCATATCTTAGTATTGTAAATAATGCTGCAATAAACATTGTTGTGCATATAACTCTTCGAGTTAATGATTTCCTCTTCAGATAGATACCCAGAAGTGGGATTGCTGGATCATATAGTAGATCTATTTTTAATGTTTTGAGATATCGCCATACTATTTCCAAAATGGTCCCACCAATTTAAATTCTTATCGGTGGTATACAAGAGTTCCTTTTTCCAACTCTCCCCAACACTTATTGTTATTAGTCTGTTTGATGTGAGCCATTCTCCCAGATAGGAGATGATATCTCATTGTGGTTTTGATTTGCACTTCCCTAATAATAAGTGATGAGGACCATTTTTTCATTGCCTGTGGCCATATGTATGCCCTCTTTGGAGAAATGTCTACCTAGATCTTCTGCCCATTTTTTGATTGGGTTTTGTTGTCGTTAATGAGTTGCATGAGTTCTTTATCTATCTTGGATATTAACCCCTTACTGGATGTATGAAGTACAAGTATCTGCTCCCATTTAGTAGGCTGTCTTTCCTTTCTGCTAATGTTTTCTTTCACTTTGCAGAAGTTTTTTAATTTGATGCAGTCCCATTTATTTTTGTGTTCATCTCCCTTGCCGCAGGGTTAAGTCCCAAAAAAGGCATCTTTAACGTTACTATCATGGTATGTTTTCTTCTACATATTTTATGGTTGTGGGTCTTACATTTAAGTTTTTAAACCATTTTGAACATGTGATATGGATGTCCAATTTCCCCAACACCTTTTGTTGAAGAGATTGTCTTTTCTCAATTGTGTGGTTGTGACTCCTTTGTCATAGTTTGATTCAGTACGTTTTGTTTATTTCTGGCTTCTTGATCATATTCCATTGAACCATTGTGTCTATTTTTACTCCATTACCATACTATTTACTGTGACTTAGTATTCAAGTTTGAATTCAGATTAACATGGTACCTCAATTTTTCTTTTTCCTTAAGATGGCTTTAACTGGTTCCATAGGAGTTTTAGTATTTTTAAGCAAATTTAAAACAAAATCAACAAACTTTATTTTGGCACAAAGAAATGAAGAGAGAAAACGCTAATAACTAGAATCCAAAATGAAAGAGGAAAAATTAGGGCTTCCCTGGTGGCACAAGGGGTTGATAAGCACCACACTGTGAAGCAATTCGCAGCCTCTGCAGCATCCAGAGTTAGATCCCTGGCCAGCCAGGGAGTAACCCACATAGCGCAGCAGACCTCTCCTGGCTCGCCTGCTACTCCCCTCAGCAGTGTATTTCAGTTGGTCTGCCTGTTCTGTTCCCCACTCTGTCTCTGGTGAATCTTCTCACCCCCCGTACCCCGGCTCTTACATGCATAAATAAATAAATAAATCTTTTTTTTAAAAAAGAAAGAAAGAGGAAATATTATAACAGAATTACAAAAAATACAAAAGATCATAAAACTATTAAGAACAACTACATAAATTGTAGTTGCCAATAAATTGCCAATAAATTTGATAATCTAGAAGAAATAGATAAAATTTTAGGACAATACAGTCTACCAAGATTGAACAGGAAGAAACTGAAAAATTGAATAGAATGATCACAAGCATAGAAATTGAAACAGTAGTCAAAAATCTTCCAAAAAACACAAAAGTCCAGCACTGGATAAATGGTTTTACATTGAATTCTACTAAGCCTTTAAAGAAGAATTTACACCTGTTTTTCTCAAACTCTTCAAAAAACTGATTAAGAGAGAATACATATTTTATCAAGTCAGCATAACCATGATATCAAAGCCAGAAAAAGACACCACCAAAAAAGAAAATTATCGATCAATATCCCTGATGAAAATTGATCAAAAATTCTCATCAAAATACTAGCAAACTGAATTCAACAGTACAGTGAAAAAATCATATACCATGACCAAGGGGAATTTATTTTAGGGATGCAAGGCTGACTCAACATACACTAATCAATTAAAGTAATATGCCACAGGGCCTCCCTGGTGGCGCAGGCAGTTGATCGCAGTGCTGTGAAGCTGTCTGCAGCCTCTACAGTGCCAGTTTGATCCCTGCCGGCCTCGGAGCAACCCACATGGTGAGCAGACTTCTCCTGGCTCACCTGCTGCTCGCCTCAGCAGTGTATTTCATCAATCTGCCTGTTCTGTTCCCCACTCTGTCTCTGGTGAATCCTCTCACCCTCCCGTGCATCTGGCCTATACCCCAGTTCTTGTATAAATAAAATAAATCTTTAAAAAAAAATAAAGTAATATGCCACAGTACCCATTTATGATAAAAACTAAATAAAATGGGCATAGAAGGCACATACCTCAACATAATAAAGGCCATCTACTATAAACCCACAGCTAATAGCATACTTAATAGTGAAAAACTGAAAGCTATTTCTTTAAAATCAGGAATAAGGTAGTTCACGCTTACCCCTTTGATTTAATTTAGTATGTAAGGTCTTAGCCAACAAGAAGTAAAAGGAATCCAGATTAGGAGAGAAGTGAAACTATCACTATTTGCAGATGATAAAATATATAGGAAAGCCCTAAAGATGATAAAATATATATGGGAATGCCCTAAAGATTACACTTAAAAACTATTAGAAACAAAAATGAGTACAGTAAAGTGAGTATATTGCCCTAAATCTGTTGCATTCCTAATTGCAAACAATGAGCAAAATGAAAAAGAAAGTCTCATGTCTTATAAAAACACTTTAGTCCTCTGTCTTAGATGCCCCTCACTTGTTTGGTACCTTAGGGAATTATTTTCCTAGGCCTCTCTAGGGTAGTTTAGCCAACTGGAGTGGCCAGTAGGGGCCTTGGGCTTGCTGGCTTTTAGAGATTAGTCTGATTTCTCAACCTGCTATAGCTCTCTATTATAACAAATTGGCTTGGCAGAGCTTCACTTGAATTAGCAAATCTGGAAAAGATGAATAATAGTGAATACAGTTGGGGACCATCATGGCATACTTGAGTGTGTATGAACAGAAACAAGTAATAATTCAGTTGAACCCTTTATCTCCTTGGCTGGATCCTTTATCTCCATGTCCTATACCTCTCTGATACCCAGTAGCCAGGCGAACAGAGTGAGTGGCACATTCCAGCTCAACATCAATTAACATGGCTGTTTATAAACCTCAGATAAATGGACAATTAGTGGTGGTGGTACTAGCTAGTGCTGCTTTAATAATTAACCCAATTACCTTTCATTCTGCTCCAGTGATAAAAGTGAAGGCGATAAGGAACTGGCTTGGTTGCCTGGGAAAAAGAGAAATAAATGCAGCCAGAGAACCCTGCCCTCCCAGAGAACCCAGCCTTCCCAAAAGCCTTACACCCAGGACGTTCTACTTATTTGGTGTCCTCTCTACCCCAGCGCACCTCATACCATTAGTGAGATATGTGTTTATTGAGAACCCAGTTTCTAAGCTCAATTGCCTGTGCTTTTTCTACTTCTTTCTTTCTTTCTTTCTTTTTTAAAGATTTGTTTATTTATTTATTTATACAAGCACTGGGTACAGTCAGAAGCGCGGGAGGGTGAGCGAATTCACCAGAGCCAGAGCGGGGAGCAGAGCAGACAGAAGGACCGAGGTACACTGCTGAGGGGAGCAGCGGGCGGCAGGAGAGGTCTGCGCGCCACGCGGGACCCTCCTCCGGTGGCCCGGGAGCAGCCGGGGATCGAACCGGCGTCGCAGAGGCTGCGGGCAGCTGCGCAACCCAGCGCTCAACCACTGCGCCACCGGAGAGGCCCTCTACTTCTTTAGAGGAAAATATTGAACCTTTGTAAATGAACTTTTCTGTTCTTTTATTTTATATCTCGAGTTTTACTGTGTGTCTGTGTCTCCCTCTCTCTTCCCCCCCCCTTCCCCCAGGAAATTTCCTCTTGATGTTCCCCACTGAAGTTTTACCCCCGTGCCCTTTCTGTACCGTCACTTTAAATGCTCCTTGTACATTCTAAATGCTTAGCATTTTCCAGGGCACTTTGGGTTTTATAAAATAATTAAATGGTTCACAGTCTAGCTCAGGGAGTGGCCTGATTTTCTATGTTTTGTTTTGAATCTGTCACTAAAAATTTAATGACTCCCTTGGCACTTTTAACTGCCAATCCTGATAGATTAGCTAAGGGGAGTGCAGCTCAAACCTGGGCTTGGACCAAAGATTTATGGCTTTTGGTACAGTTTGAAGAAACTCTGAATGTGTCCCCATTCATTTTTTGAGTTGGTCTGTGAACATGAGTGACTGGAACTTGGGAAGACAACTGCCTTTTGCATTGTGTACGTGAGAGGCAGTATGGCAGAATGTGTGGGATTTTGGACTCTGGAGTCAGACTGTTTAGGTTCCAATATTTACTCTGCTATTTCCTAGGAGTGTAATCTTGGATAATTTATTTTACCTTTTTGTGGGCCTCAGTTTCTTCGTCTGTAAAACAAACATAAGAATTAGCACCTAGCTCAGAGTGTTGTTTTGAGAATTAAATGAGTTAATATATGTGACACACTCAAAATAGTAATTTTGGGCAGACAGTAAGTGATAGATTTTAACTATTATCATTATTTTAATTTTTTTATTATGGATTTAAGGGGCTATGCTATGTCTATGCTCTGCTAGTCTCATTGTTTACAACCTTGTTGATCTCTCACTATTCTTTTGCCTTCTTTTCTAAAGGTGCTCTTCTTGGATCTCAAGTAGGATTTTCTCCCCTTTGCTGTGGTCAGTAAATTAAAGAATCTGGGGCCTTGTCCTGAGGGTCCTTGTGTTGATAATTGGACATTCTAGTGTGTCCACCATTGTAGGCCTGCCACCCAAGCCAGTAAAGAAACCACATAGCTTGCATTTGAATACACCATTCTGTCCTCCATCAGGATCTGTGCTGATGAAATAAGCATCTACTCAGCAGACCAAGTGGATTGCTCCTATGTAACCATGGCAACATGTGATCCTCAAAGTAGTTCCTGAAACAATAGCAAGCAGTAACATCACTTGGGAGCTTGTTACAAATGCAAATTCTTGGCCCCTACCCCACACCCACTGAATCAGAAAAAACTAGTTGTAGGGCCAAGGAATTTGTGTTTTAAAGAGTCTTCTAGGTGATCCTGGTACACTTTAAAAATTCTAGATTAATTCGTTATCTAGGAACAAGCAGAGGTATGGGAAGAGATGACTTGGTAATATATTAAAGGGTGGTGACACCTGGAACCCAAGATGAACTGGTGCTGGTAAAGCCCATGATGTATAACTCTTCTCGTTCTGAAGCTGTTAGTAATTGGGGAAAATAAATGAATTTGTAATTACCTACAGAGTGCTTAGCTGGTATAAACGTTTATTGAGCTCCTCTTATTTGCATGGTATAATAGTAGGTCTAGGCCAGTACCGGGATGAACCATGACATGATCTCTGCTTCCGAAAGTTTACCTTCTACTGAGTAAATAGCTATAGGATATGGGCCTCCCCGGTCACACAGCAGTTGAGCGCTGGGTTGCGAAGCTGCCCGCAGCTTCTGCAGTGCTGGTTCAATCCCCGGCTGCTCCCCGGCCACCAGAGGAGGGTCCCACATGGCGCGCAGACCTCTCCTGCCACCCGCTGCTCCCCTCAGCAGTGTACTTCGGTCCTTCTGCCTGCTCTGCTCCCCGCTCTGGTGAATTCTCTCACCCTCCCGCACTTCTGACTGTACCCAGTGGTTGCATTAAAAAATAAATAAATAAATAAATAAATAAATAAATAAATAAATCTTTTTAAAAAATAGCTATAGGATAGGGTATTGTGTGGAAGGAGAAATATAAGCAGAAAGCTGGCTGTGAACACTCAGCACTAAGTGGCATTTTTTTAATAGCAGAAAATAAAGACCATTAAGTTTTTTTAATGTTTTATTTTTTTTTTTCATTTAAATTTTATTTTTATATTCCCCATACAATTACAACTCCCTTATTTTGACCCCAATCCCTCCTTCCCTGGCCCCCATCCCCCATAGAGTATCTCTGGTTCATAGTTGATGGTTGATTTTGATATTTTCTTTCTTATAGTTATTCTTTTTCCTGGTCCCTTATTTAAGTTTTCTAGATTCCTGCTATGAGTGAGACCATCCGGTATTTTTCTTTTTCTTTCTGGCTTATTTTTGCTGAGCATGATCCCTTCTAGTTCCATCCATGTTGCTGCAAATTGCATGTGTTTATCTTTTTTGAATGCTGAGTAATATTCCATGGTGTATATGTACCACATCTTCTTGATCCAGTCATCTATTTTGGGGCATTTGGGCTGTTTCCAAAGCTTAGCTATTGTAAATAGTGCTGCTATAAACTTAGGGGTGCAGGTGCTCTTTGGAATTGATGTTTCTGTGTCCTTTGGGTAAATACCTAGGAGTGGAATTGCTGGATCATATGGAAGCTCTATGTTTAGTAGGTCAAGAAATCTCCACACAGCTCTCCATAGTGGTTGGACCAGTTTGCACTCCCACTAACAGTGCAGGAGAGTTCCTTTTTCTCCACAACCTCGCCAACATTTGTTGTTGCTAGTTTTTTTGATATGTGCCATTCTCACTGGTGTAAGATGGTATCTCATGGTAGTTTTGATTTGCATTTCCCTGATTACAAGTGATGTTGAACATTTTTTCATATGCCTGTTGGCCATTTGCATTTCCTCTTCAGAGAAGTTTCTTTTTAGCTCCTCTGTCCATTTCTTGACTGGATTATTTTCTTTGTTTTTGTTGAGTCTCATCAGCTCTTTGTAGATTTATGTGATCAGTCCTTTATCATTAGTGTTGTGTGCAAAAATGTTCTCCCAGTCGATGGGGTTTCTCTTTGTTTGTGTTATTGTCTCTTTTGCTGTGCAGAAGCTCTTTAATTTGATGTAGTCCCAGCTGTTTATCTTTGCCTTCACTCTCACTGCTTTGGGTGATGTGTCTATAAAGATGAAAGACCATTAAGTTTTTGTGCCCTTACAAACAGGTCCTTTTCAGCTCTGTTAGGAGGTTCATTTCCAGGGGAAATTAACCTATACCCTCTCTTCCAACGTATTGCCCAATTTATTTCCTCCTGAAACAGAAATGTTAGTGTCAACATGTCTGGATTGAGATGTTACCATTTACTTTAACTTCTCTGTACTTTGGACTTTCTTAGACTTGGAGTGATCTCAAAGTTTAAGTCCTGTGGTGTGCATGCCTTAGAAATACCACTCGTTTTGTAGATGTCAGCTGAAGATGCCTTCTGATCTTTAATGACCCACTCTAATGTCAGAACCCCTTAATTCTCTCTTCTTAAGTTAGGATTGGTGTGTGCTTTGGCATATTTTGTAGCCCCTTAGTACAAAGATATAATAATACAGAAATCTGCAGAAGAGCTGTAAGGAAAGATGTTAAATGTGAGGTCAAAGCCTGTATTTCCAACAGACACAACAGCTATACAGTCTCTAAGATTAATGATCTCCTAGAAAGATGTGGAATCATCTTTTTTGCTGTCCCATCTACTCTCAGCTACCCACGTCATCATAAATGCTAAAAGCTAATAACACATATTAACCTAGCTCCTCCTCCTTTTTAAAACCCTGAGCTCACTTAGCCTTTCTTTCTCTTTCCCTTTTCATGTGCTCAAACTTCATTTATTGCAAACTGGCTGGAAATGCCATAGGAACTGGCAGACAGCATCTCTCACCCTCTCCACCAAAGTAGAACCAACCTTTGGGTGTTAATTTCTTTTCTTTAACACCTGCTGATCTATGAGGCCAGCTTTTCCCCTGGGGTCCTTGTGCCACCCATTTGGAAGCCAAGAGTAAGCATGGGTATCTTGCTATAAGCCATAAGGTGGAAAGAGCATTTAAGGTATGTTACCAGGGACCTTTTGGAATGTTGAGACTCCCTGATGGTGGTTCTTTTGGCCAAGTGTTGAGTGTCACCCTAGAGTCAGATAGTTATACTTTAGGCACAGTCTCTTACATTATATGCATACTAAGATGAGTCCCCTGGGTTTCCTAAGCCCAGCTCACTGCGGTAGGGGCCCATCTTCCCTCCTACTGTCTTGAGCTTGGGAATTATATATTTAGGGACTGTCTGGCAAACAGACTCATGATTTTTATTCTTGTGACTCATGACTGGCAAAGCACAAGCCAAAAAATATTCCTCCCTAAGCAAAGGGTTTAACTGGTGGAGGCTACAAAGTAACAGAGGGAAAGCTGGACCACAGGTTGAGGTCAGAGTTCCCATGGGTATAAGATATTATTATTCAGGGAGGTGGGTATACTGTAGACTGTGAAGAAAACATTTATTTTCATAA